GCCCAGAATAGCAGCACTGTCTTGTTGGTTGAAAACCTGTTGCACTAACCATTCATTCCAGCCTAGACCAGATGGTAAAATAAGATCCTGAACAAAAATGAGGTGATCCCTGGCTAACTCGAGCATTTCAGGTTTTTTCCTCAGATTAGGAATCCAGTTGTAATCAGCAATTCTAGTATTAGCTCCATTTCTAATCTCCACTTTCAGCCATTTAGAGAATAAAGGAAGAGTATCTAACCAACAATTCCATAGCCAAGATCCCTTCTGAGTTTTAGCAGCATGGAATATGGAAGAGTTAGGAAAATACCTTTCTTTAAGAACTTTGCTCACTAGTAAGTCAGGCTGAGATGTTATTCTCCAGAGTTGCTTGCATATCAAGGCTGCATTGAACAATTTTAGGTCAAGAAACCCCAATCCTCCATTCTGTTTGGGTACAGTGATCTTGGACCAACTTCTCCAATGAATCCCTTTGTTATCATTAGAAGCATTTTTCCACAGAAACTGAGCACATAAGGTTGACAAAGCTGAACAAATAGCAACAGGCAGCTTGAAACATGACATAGTAAAGATAGGTAATGCCTGCAAGACAGATTTAATCAGAACAACTTTGCCAGCAGAAGACAGAAGTTTGGATTTCCAATTCTGAAGTTTACATTGAGTAGATTCTACCATATAATCAAAGACTTCCTTCTTAGATTTTCCAATGCCAAGAGGTAAACCCAAGTATTTTGTGGATCTGTGAATTTGGATACCTTGCAAAGTTGCACAAATGTTCTCCTTCAGAGGGGNAGGTGTATTTCTACTGAAGAAAATGGCAGATTTTTGCATATTCACAGTTTGACCAGTAAATAGCTTGTACTTGTTAAGCAAATCCATTAACACCCCAGCTTGATCAGTCCCGGCCTTGCAGAAAAATAAGGAATCATCTGCAAATAAAAGGTGGGAGATTTGGGGCCCAGATTTGGAGAGCTTCAACCCTTTAAGGAGACCAGAATTGATAGAATCCTGAACCAAAGCTGATAGAAGTTCTGCAACTATTATAAAAAGGTAAGGGGAGAGGGAGTCCCCTTGTCTGATACCTCTTGAAGGATTAACAAAGCCACTGATATCACCATTAATTTTGAAAGCAATGGAGGTGGTAGAAATGCAAGCCATTATTAGTTTAACAAAATCAAGGTGGAATCCCATCTGAATCATAATCTTTTTGATACTCATCCACTCTATTCTGTCAAAAGCTTTCATAAGGTCTAGCTTAAGGGCCATAAAGTAGTTCTTCCCAGATGAGTGTCTATTAAGGAAATGGAAAGCCTCCTGAGCTATGATAACATTATCAAGCAACTGCCTACCCTTAATGAAATGCAACCATCTAAGCAAGTTTTCAACCTTTGGGCAAGAACTTTGGAAATCACTTTGTAAACCACTGTGCAAAGGCTAATAGGCCTAAACTTGCCCACAGAGTCAGGAGAAACACATTTAGGAATCAGAGAAATGATGGTGTGGTTCCAGTATTGAAGCATTTGGCCAGAATGGAAAAAACTCATTACAGCAGCAATGAAGTCTGATTTAATGAGAAGCCAAAAATGTTGATAAAATAAAGCATTCATACCATCTTCTCCAGGAGCCTTGTCAAGATGAAGGCTGAATAGTGCTGATTTGATCTCTTCTTCCTTCACTGGGAGCATAAGAGTTTTGTTCATTTCTTCTGATATGGAAGGATTAATCAGCTGCAGTAAAAAATCTCCTCCCCAGGAACCCTCAGAACTGAAAAGAGATTTGTAAAAATCATGAATGTGCTCTTGGATCTCCTTCTGGGATGTCAGTTCTTCTCCCCTTTCATTAAGTAGCCTGGTTATAGCATTCATCCTCCTCTTATGCATTGTGTAGGCATGAAAGAATCTGGAGTTACAATCACCATGCTTTAACCAATGGAGTTTAGTTTTCTGCTGCCAATAGAGGGTCTCTTCATGATGAGCTTTGTCTAATTCTCTTCTAGTTTTGTTCCAGTCTTCCCATTTGGATTCAACTTCCTCTTCTCTCAGATCTTCCAGCTTTTGAGTGAGTGTTGCAATTTGAAGCTGATTCTGAGTATGGAACTGAGAGCTCCATTTCAGTAGAGCAATTGTAGTGTTCTTTACTTTCTCCTTAAGCTGAAAGAAGGGGGTTCCTGAAGTTGTGTTGAGCCAAGCCTGTGAAACCACCTCCATTAAACCAGCCTTTCCAATCCATCTTCTCTCAAACTGGAATCTTCTTGTTTTCCTTTCTCTAGGCATTCCTGGGTCCACTAGGATGATAGAGTGGTCAGAGGAGCAAGAAACCAAATTTAGAGTTTTAGCATTAGGGAAGGATTGCATCCAGGTCAAGGAGCCAAAGGCTCTATCTAGCTTTTCTTCCACTACAAATTGGGGACTCCTGTTGTTGCACCAAGTGTACTGGTATCCCAACATCTTTATCTCCTCCATCTCCATTCTGTTAATAAATGTATTGAATCCCCAAAAACTGTTGGAAGGCCTTGAGATTCCCCCAATCTTGTCAGAACTAGAGCATAGATCATTCCAGTCTCCTGCCATGAACCATTGGTCTCCCCATTTGATTTTTTCAGCTTCCAATGACTCCCATTGAGATGCCCTTTGGATTCTACATGGACTAAGGTAAACAAACACCCTCCACTGGGGCTCCACAGAAAGAAAATGAAAATGAACAGCAATAAAAAAAGAAGAACTAACAAGTTGAATAATATTTACATCAGAGTTCCAAAGAAGCAATAAGCCACCACTAAGACCTATAGGATCAACCACAAAAAATCTATCCTCAAAACCTAACTTCTTAACCACAGTTTTAACAAAAGCATTAGACTTTTTAGTTTCAGAAAGGAAAGCAAATACCGGGTGATGAGACCTCAGAGTCTCTCTGATTTGGGAAATTGTAGAGGGCCCACCCAGCCCTCTACAGTTCCACACCGCAGCTAGCATTTAGAACTTGGGTGCCAATCAAGGCTGGCCACCCCCACCTCCTTTGGTCCTGCTTTGAGTTTTTTGTTGGTTGGATCAGTTTGATTTTGGTTGGTCATGTTTGCTTCATCCTCAGGAGAATCAGTGTTGCTCCTAGTCCTCTTGCCATAGATGGGAATTTCAGAGCTTCCTTCATGTCTCTGAAGTCTTCCTTCCCTGTTATCAACTCTCTTCCATGTTTTGATGACTCCTTTGCCTTTGTCAGGTTTCAAGGAAGGAGTGGTTTGAGTGATAGGGATCAATCTGGTTTCAATGTCCATGAGTTTGGCAATATCTTCAGGATGAGGGGTTAATTTGGAGGTTTCAGAATTTTTCGGTTGGCTATGTGGGGAATTGGTAGTTGAGCCATTGATTGATGATAGAATAGTGGGATTTGGGTTCTGTTGGTGAAGGATGATTTGGTTCTTGTTGGATGGTTGGCTGGCTGAGTTGTGTTGAGGATAGCTATTCTCTGGTGAGTGGCTTGGATTGGGATTGGATCTTTGTGGGCTATGAGGTGGACTCCTTGACCCTGATGTATTGGCATTATTGGGTGCCCCATACTATCCTTCTGGAGCTTTAAGCCAATCCCCATATTGGCCTTCTCTAATACTACTGGATTTAATATCTTGGACCTTTCTAAGACATCCCTTTTCCAGGTGCCCAATGTGCCCACAGTAGTGGCATAAATTCCTTAGCTTTTCATATCTGAAGCTTATGGGAGTAATATGGTCTCCTAGCCTGATTTTAGTGCATCTGGGAATAGGCTCTGTCAAATCCAGTGTCACCAGTAATCTGAGAAATTTGCCTCCATGACTCCCATGGTTTGCTATGACCACATTATCCACCTCATTGAAAACTTTGCCTATCTTAATACCCACATCAGTGCAGAGCCAATTTAAAGGAACATTGCGCACTTGTGCCCATATTTTAAGCTTCTGGAAGCAAGTATGCTTGCTATTCAGACCATCTATCCATTCTGATAAAATCAAATACTGATTCTCAAAGCTCCAATTAGTACCTCCAAGTACTTTCTTGAGATACTCCCGACTTTGGAATATAAATTGAAAATAATTTGGTTCGAGTTCTTTTACCTCCATAGGCTGGGATAACCTCCATATTTGGCTCATGGATCTTCTAACACCTATCCAGCTGGCTGTCCTGTCACCAACTATCTTCCCAAACAGGCTTCGATTACACTCTTCCGCACTGAATCGAATATCTTCTTGGGCTATGTCAACAAGTAGTGCTTCTCTATCGGATAGTGAGAAGTTCTCCATCCGAAAGGATAATTCCTCATCTTGATTAGGACTGGGTGTTCTTTCCATAACAACTGGCAAAAGCCCCAAAACGGGAACCCTAGCTACCGCAACGAGAAGAGCTTTGGATCAGAAACAGAAAATTTTCTGGATGTAAGTAACAACGATCAATACCCACTCTATTGCAATCGATCTAAACAATTTTCCGCTCCCAATCGAGAGAATCCGAAGCTCTCCACTGAGAGAATTGACTGGTTTGATCTATTAATATTTTTATTACTATACGGGATTTAAATAATAAATTTATATAAAATGTTATAGATTAAATATTTAGACAATTTGAAACATACAAATATCTATACTAATTAACATAATAATTAATACAGATCAAATGTAATTTAACTTGCATTCTTATTTATTTAAAAAAAATTATTTAAATTGATAAAAAATGAAGGTTGAAATAAAAACACTTGATTCAAAATAGATTTTTTATTGATTTTAATTGGTTTTGTACCCATTTTCACCAACTTGATTGGTCAATAATTGGTTCTTGATTATTTCGTTGGAAAGCTGTTATGAGTAGACCATTTTGATTGAGTCATTAACTCCGGTCCAATCGGTCCAACCCATCGTAGCATAATTATGTATTTAAATAAATTGGTTCAATAAAAATTTATTTTGTTAAAGGAAATGACATAAACTTATGAAAAAATTCATCCCCGTATTTGTTTGGCCGGTGGTAAACAAGGACGAATGAAGCGCAAAAACCATTTCCATTTTTTTCCGCTAAGTATTAAATTGTCTAGATTTTTTCTCTTTGTTCAAAATTGTTGGTGTAGAGAGTCAAACTACTGCTAGGTCGACATCTATGAAGTTAACAAGTAAATGTGAGAATGAAGGAAAATATAAAAGTAAATGGTGTTTGGGTGCATAGACGTTTCCCTTGAGAAGAGAGCTTTAATCACTTGTGGTACAGGAAAATGATGCTGAAGATGAAGAATCCAGCCATCTGCAAAATATGTTTCAAATTTGTAATGTCAACACACACACAAATCCCACACACCACACGAAACCGCATGCACACAGACAGAGAGGGAGAGAGAGTAGAGGAATTTCCCATTGAAAATGAGGAGAGAGAGAGTAGAGGAATTTACCATAGAAAATGAAGCTCCGTAGTAAGGAAAAGCAGTTGTGATGAACCTCTCATATTCATTGTGCCGGAAGGGCCTTACTGGAATCTGAAAATTGTCGCAAACAAAAATCATAGTTTAGTTACACCGAGTTTAATAGGTTTTCTAGTAGGGTATACATTTCAGTGAGTAATAGCCTAGTGCAGGCCAAGGATTTAAATCTTCTGCATTTGGTTCTCTGAATCTCAAATTTACGGGGCATAGCTTTTGATATCTGCATTTCTAAATGGAAATGCTCGATCATGAAGTTAACGCAAGGTCGTAATATTATCGTTAGGGGAACCTAAATATGTGGAAAATACCCTGAATCTTCAATAAAACCAATCACGTAGCTCAAGTTCTTAATTGCAAGGGAAAAACTTAAATTGGGTTAGACATCTTAAACAAACATCAAAAGTAAAACAAATTTGCTAGGATATTATGATGCTGGGGAGAGGGGTGTTTTACCTGTTTCGACAGTGACAAGCCAGTGTACCCAAGCCTCTGATACTCAACCTTGAACTGGAAAACTCCATAAACATCGGGAACCTTGAATGAAGTGTAATAGAGTCCCTACAAAAAATTCACAAAAAAAAAACATAGGGCCAAAAGCGCGATGTTGGTAACAACTAACAAGGGGATTTTATGCCCAGACATAAAACAAATTACCTTCTGGTTTGTGGATAACGTTTTTAAGACATAGGGACTCATCATGTAGAACTGCACTTGAACGTCTTTTGCGACATACGGGACCCAATTCGTGCCCGACCATTCATAGATCTCCACAGAGAACTCCTACAATGATATTATAATCAATTAAAAAGAAACATACTAAATAAAATATCTTTTCAACAAATTAGGCACTTCGGATATGGCAATTTTATACTACTTTTAGATATTATTTTGAGAGAGAGATGGTGTAGGGTTGGGGTTAGCATTACCAGATCATCATTGATTCTGTATGTTGGAGGTTCTTCAGTTTCACCAACTTTATTGTGCTTAAGGCTGATGGCCTACATGATTAGATAAATTTACAAATTCAAATTGGAGAATGGAGAGCAATTTAACCTCTTATGACATAAGGAAAGAAATCACAATGGCACATGAAAAAGTAAACCACCTTCAGATGACCTCTTTCATGGAATACCCATTTGCTAATTTCAGTGACAAATTGTTCATTACCAGATTTTCCATATCTGTCAATAAATTAATTAGTATCTGTTAGTAGCTACAATGAGTAAAATAAGCATTGGTTCTTTTAGCAAATATGCCGAAGTAATCGTTTTTCTATAGCTCACTTATAGAGCTATTCCTAGTAACAAAGAAACTTTAGAACTAAACTCCACCACGAGAATATAGCTCACGATAATTATAAGCATGGTAAAGCCATAAAACAATCTTAAATTGGATTTATATGTATCTAAATTTAAATTCAAGAACTCAAATGAATAATCAATAATAAGTTACAGAAGTGATAAAATTAAAGAAAGAGATGAAATAAAGAAGACGGGTGAAAGCTCCACTAACTTTTTCAAGCTCCCATTCTTCTGTACTCCTGCTCTCAATAACCTGGTCCATATTGACATGCACACATCCATTAAGGAGACTTTAGGCGTAAATTTGCAGGGACCAATTATATAGAAGATTTTTTTTTAAAGAAATGTTTACAGCAACAATTTACCGGTTGCTAAACAAGTCCAATGATCCAGATATCATAACTCTTGCATTATTCCTAGCCTGTAATCATGACAGAGGGTACCAATTCATAAAACAGGAATTTTAGAAATATGTCAGAAGCATGAAGCAGTGTATCACTGAATTGACAGGGTATATGATGATCATCATAAATAATTAATCGATGTATCACTAAGAGATGGATACTGTTCCACATGTTCATAAAGCCACGATGCCCAGGAGACACTTGCTATTAACCCAGTGAAACAACCTTTATATATTTCAATTGCTAAATCAGCCAAGGTTTTGTTATGAGCCCTTGTACCAAGCGACAACTAACAAGACAAAAGTAGGTTTATATATCATTTTCAGGTTTCACACAAGTCGTTTTTCATTTTCCGAAATGAAAACTACCATATTCTCAGCTCAATTTCCATATTCACTCCTTTAAATATATACTATTTTTTAGCATTTTTCTTTTTTTTTTTTCTTTTTTTAATAGATTTTAGAAAATGAATAAAGTTGTATACCTTATGAAAAACTTGGAATTCGATGATATACTACCAAAACTAAAATATTGCAGGTCGAAAACATATAGTTCAGACGACGAGATAAAAGTACTGAAAATTCCGTTAAACAAAATCAGAACTCTGAGTAGCATAACAAATGGAAACCAAAGCAAACCTGGAGAACCGAAACTAATGATATAGCTGTTCCAGTAAGGGACGGAGGAATTAATAACTCTGAGGTAGGATTAGCAGAATAAGCTGAAGAAGATGCCGAAAGGACCTTCAGAACCTAGAGAGAGAGAGAGAGAGAGAGAGAGAGAGAGAGGACAGCCCAGGAAAAAAACAAAACAGTACACATATCAACATACTGAAACATATTCACACTCTGTTAGACTCTTGCATAAAAAACACAGCAACAAGCTTCCACATTACCAAGCTATTTTCAGGATTCACTGAATGTCCAATCCCTTTAAAAAGGACCGGGGCCTGTTCCACAAACATAAAGTATGCGTTAATAAATGTAAACTGGCATATTGAAACTGATCACTGATGTTCACGGAAAGCTCATAACATGTAAAATAGGAATAAGGATGATAAATTTTCGTATTGGGGAAAATTATGGGGGATAGATCTTAATCGATCAGGTTGTACATAAATGTGAGGGATGAATAAAGATAATGATTCTCCCTCGAAGACGCAAGCATAAATATAGCAGTAGACTTTTCATAAACTGACCTCTATTTTACTACTTCCAAGAATAACATCAGACTGAATAAAACTATCCGAAGCAATTAAGGTATGGTCTCCTGCAGTTTCAGGGACAGCATAACCAGTGTGATCAATGACCACGGCAGATGGATCCTGCAAAACAGAAAACTCCTGTGACAATATAAAACTGAAAGGGGAATATATAAAAATTAAGGTGCAAGTACTGGATACTTAGCTAAGGCTGTGAAAAAAGAAACAAAGATAGGTAGATAAACAGAAGAGAGAGAGATATGCAAACAATGTTCCATTAACCGCAGCATAGATAAATTTAGAAACTGATGCTAGTCACAAAAGTTAGTGACCAGAAAATAATTAACATTCTGGAGAGGAGTTGGCATAAAAATACACACAAACAAAATGGGATATAAATAAGCTATGGAGTGCCATTGCATTCTGGTGATTAAAGCAATGGTGAGTTGGGTGTATTTGTATAAAAAAAGATACACAAAACTGTACCATCTGACCTTCATGATATTGCCATTATAGTTACAAGAGCACAAGTTATACATTTATAGTATTTAAAAGAATAATAAATATACAAAGTTTGTCTCCACAATATAGACAAATTGTAGTTCAAAGCAAGGCCAGAAATAATTATAAACTGTAAATTGGTTTTTTTAGTAATAATCTGGTTGAAATGAAAAATATCAATTTCAGTGTGAGGACGTTCATATAGTAGATAACACGTAAAAGCCTTTACATTGTAAGCTTTATAGCCTTGTGTTTCATGAGCTTACAATCCTCTAGACTACTTTTATACTCTTGCAAGGCAACACTTACTCAACCCTACGAATGAATACTGTCAATTTTAAAATTTTAATTTCATGTAGCTGAAAATATGTTACCAATACGAGCAATTAAACACAAAAGGGAGGATCATCCATCATTATTGCACATTGAAGGGACTGAATCACAGACCTCATCAAAATCTATACCGCATTCAGCTGCTATGTTCCGGATTAACTCAGAGGCATTTGAATCGGCTGCCAATATCAAGTCATGGCCAGAATCAATAAAATCCAAAATCTCCTGCACATCCAACGACCCTCCAAACCCTGCACAAATTCTTCAAGCATTATAACAATGCAATTAAAAATAAAGAGAGAGAGAGAGAGAGAGAGAGAGAGAGAAAAGCAAGAATGGCCGTACAATTAGAGGAATGGACTCGTTAAATAACACGCAAATGAGCAAATTGAAAAACAAAAAGTACAAACAAACTTACGGTCAGCCGTAGGAGAAAAGAGAATGATGCCGTCGTACAAGTACTGGCCGTACCGCTTGACAGCGATGGAAGGATCATCGGCGAGCTTGAAATCGAGATTAAAGCCTCGAGATTGGAGAGCGGCAAAGAAGAGGGAATGCGATGATTTTAGAGCGAAATCGTCGAGCAAAACTAGGATCTGGCGGTCAGTGGGGTGATCGGGAGAGAACGATAATGTGCGGAGCGGAAGAATCGAGATCAGGTTAAACAAAATAATGGAGAGAATTACAAAGGATTTCATTTCCGCCATTGTGAGTTTTGAGGATGGTCTGAGAGTGAAGCAGTAATCTGTTATAGTGAAGCGGGCGAGGACAAAGACTTTGACTTGATGTCCAACGAGCCAACCAGGGGGCAATGCAATCAAAATCGTTGAATTCCAGGGTGCCCTTTGTGTTCACGCCAAAATTTTTATGGTCATAAAAATAATTTGTGAATATATCATAAAAAAAATCATTTTAGTATATTTTTCATTTAAAAAGAAAAAAGTTAAGTACCAACATAAAATGGATATTGAGAAATATTGTAGCAAATCACCTCTCGACTTAAATAAAATACATAAAGAAATTGAAAGTTGTTTTGATGTTGGAAAAAAAATGAATACAACTAAAAATAATAAATTAATTTTATATTTCAAAAAATTAAAAATATTACATTTATAAATATTAAATTATATTTTAAATCATAAAATATTATTAATTCAAAATACTTGATAATTTAATAAAGTACAGAAAAATGATTATACAAGTATAAAATAAGAGTTGCGCTCCAGTAAGGATGATGCTCAGTGAATGAAATAAGAATACATCTTATCCATCAGATCAGATCATCTAATAGCAAAAAAAAGCCACACATTTACATTCATTAAGAGTGTGATAGTTGTTTTATCTATTACACATGTCACATGTGCCCTATCATTCACACACGCTCCCTCTCGCTCAAGCACACACACTGCCACTGGACACACACAAACAGTCTGTACAAACACAAGACACATACATTACACACACGACTCACACACACAATGTACACACGCACACACACGACACACACGCACACACAAACTCTGGCCGACGACTAAGCGCCACTCCACGGTGCAGCTCACGGCAGTCGGATTCATCGGGTCGTCCGTCATCGCCACTTGATGTCGTCTACTTGCGTCGCTGGTCACATCCAAATGGTCGCGGCCACTTGATCTCAGCGCGCCACCGACCATCGCCGCCACCGACACTTCCCACCGCCGCAATCATCTGATCCTGCACCTCTGCATGCGGCGGAGCGGAGCATTCGTGGCCGAATTTCAGTCGCCAGGATAAATAACTTGGCGGGTCCTCGGCGTTAGCACTCCGACGATCAAGTCAGTTTCAAAATGAATAGTGTATGTAAAGCTCTGTGAGTATAGAGTATGTAAAGTGTAAATGGACATACCTCACCCCTTTATATAGGGGTGTTACCTTGTTGCCCAAGACCGGATTGGCTACCCATATCGCTTGTCTGTACTACTCGAACTCCCCAATTCTACTAGGCCACGTGGCCCTATCCACGTGTACTTCTTATCTTAATAATATTCCTTCTTATCCATTAGTCTGCCTTATTATAAGGTCTAATTGTGCGACCGACTTGATGTATCTCAAGGTGGAGTACTCCCTGTGCTAAGCTCCTATGTCATGCTCATCTGGTCAACCTATCGACCATCTGGTCGAATTTTAGCAAAGCCATCTGAGAGCCCTAGCTCGACCTGTCTGTGTTTCCTTGGACCCACAGTGCCCTCATCAACTTGAGGACTCTTCAATCTGTAACGCTTTCGATCTTCGTTTGGCTTATCAGTTCACCCGGCTCAATCAGGTTGTTTCTCAAGTCAAGTCGACCCAGTATGGTATCTCATATCGCCAACGGTCTCGGAAGGAGAAGTGAACGAGAGTGACGGCTGGATGTCAGATTAAGGCATCCGATTTGCTCTGGGATGCTGCATTGCTTTTCGCAAAAATACTCGAAGAGCATAAATGGTGAAAAAGTATAATTGGGAAGGCGAATTGCTATTACAGAGAGTAAGAAAATAAAAATAAAAATAAAAAAGTTGATGGAACAACTGCACGTGGATCGTTGCTTTGTTAAAAGATCGACATCTCGAGATCCAAGAATATACAGAAGACGAGACATATTACGTCCCCCCAAGTCAGGGGAGGAGGCAAGTGTTGGGTTGCCCTGGTGGGCTTTAGATAGTCAATTTATTTTTCAATAGCTTTCNCAGCCCCTTTAAATTCCCATGAGTCTAATGGATATAAAAATGAGAGCTTCTTTTTTCTTTTTTCTTTTTTTAAAATTCTTAAATAATGAAAATCCTGTAGAAAAATTAAAATGGTCTTATTTTGCATGTGTAAACTTTATTTATTTATTATTTAATTTTTTGGGAGACCTCAAAATTATCCTCTGCATTTATTCTGGCATGTGTAAACTTCATAAAGGGCGCATCATCCTCTGCATTTATTCCGGCAAGGACGGTGATGCCGAACGTCAAACTCCCAATGAGATCTTTGATGAGACCGGTCATTTCGGCAGGTGGCAAGGCGAGTTGCTGGATTGCCTATTTCAGCAAGGCATCGACATTGCCATTGAAGAAGAGGAGCCAACCGACGTTGAAAAGAAGGACTGGAAGAATATTAACCGCTTAGCATGTGGAACAATCTGTTCGTGTTTGTCGATGGAGCAGAAGTACGAGTTCAAGAATGAGAACTCTGCTCACACTCTGTGGAAGGCTTTGGAGGATAAATTTCGGAAGAAAAGCGGCTAGAATAAGCTCCTCATGAAGAAGCGATTGTTCCGATTTGAGTACCGGCATGACACATCGATGAATGACCACGTCACTGCATTCAATCAGTTGGTTGCAGATTTGTTGAATTTCGACGTCACATTCAACGATGAAGATTTGGCTCTAATGTTGTTATCATCACTTCCAGACGACTTCGAGCACTAATAGACTACTTTTCTCCATGGGAAAGACGATGTAATTTTTGCAATGGTCAGTTCTTCTCTGTATAGCTATGAGTTGAGGAAGAAGAACAAACAAGAGACGAAGAATGTAGCAGCAGAAGATGAAGCGTTGGTTGCAAGAGGTCGGACGAAGAGCCAAAAGAAGAATGGACGAGGAAGATCACGTTTCAAAGCCAAGCTTGAAAAAGACGAGTGTGTTTTCTGCCATGAGAAGGGACATTGGAAGAAAGAATGTCCTAAATTGAAGAAGAAGGGCAAATCTCCTCAAGATGCATATGTTGCCGAAGGTGGAAGTGAAGATTCAGAATTTTCACTTGTGGTTTCACCTTCATCATCTCATCCAGACGAATGGATTTTGGATTCTGGATGCACCTACCATATGTCTCCCATAAGGGAGTGGTTCTTCAATTTTCAAGAGATTAATGGAGGGGTTATCTATATGGGCAATGATAATGCTTGTAAGACAACCGAGATAGGTTCGATCCATTTCAAGAATCACGATGGATCCACCAGAGTTTTGACGGATGTTCGGTACGTGCCGAGTTTGAAGAAAAACCTCATCTCATTAGGAGCCTTGGAATCCAAAGGCTTGGTAGTGACTTTGCGAGATGGAGTTCTGAAGGCTACATCCGGCTCGCTCGTGGTGATGAAAGGCATCAAGAGGAATAACTTGTATTACTATGAAAGTGATACAGTCGTTGGGACAACAACAGTAGCAGATTCCACCAACAAGGAGTCTGAAGTAGTCAAGTTATGTCATATGAGGTTGGGACATGCTGGTAAAAAATCCTTGCAGACATTGGCAAAACAAGGATTGTTGAAAGATGTCAAAGTGTGCAAATTAGACTTTTGTGAGCATTGTGTTCGGGGAAAGCAGAAGAGAGTGAAGTTTGGAATGGCTATCCATAATACCGAAGGTGTCTTGGATTATGTTCATTTGGATGTTTGGGAACCTTCTAAGACCCATCATTAGGCGGAAGACGCTATTTTGTCACTTTCATCGACGACTTTTTCAGACGTATTTGGGTGTACACTATAAAGACGAAGGATGAAATGCTTGGTGTCTTCATTACATGGAAGACACAAATTGAGAATCAGATTGGAAGGAAGATCAAGGTCCTACGAACAGACAATGGTGGAGAATATACAAGTGATCTCTTTCAAGAAGTTTGCCGTAAAAATGGCATTGTTAGACACTTCACCGTTAGATGGACACCACAACAAAATGGGGTGGCGGAGCGCATGAATCGAACATTGGTGGAGAAAGTTTGATGTATGTTGTCCAATGCTGGTTTGGGCAAGGAGTACTGGGCTGAGGCTGTAACATACGCGCAACACCTCATAAATCGATTGTCGTCATCTGCAAAAGATGGTAAAACACCGTTGGAGGTATGGTCGGGGAAACTTGTTGCTGACTGTGGATCTTTACATGTCTTTGGGTGTCCTACGTACTATCATGTGAAGGATTCAAAGTTAGATCCAAGAGCGAAAAAGGCTCTATTCATGGGAATCACAATTGTCGTGAAGGGATATCGTCTTTTGTGTCTTGAGACAAACAAAACTGTGTTCAGCAGGGATGTTACATTTGATGAACAAGGTATGATAAAGACGACGCAAACCCAACAGGTGGAGTTGACACCGAAGCAGGTGGAGATAGATGTTATGACGAGACGACCAGTTATAATTGACGAACCAATATCAATGGATTCGTCGGATGATGAAGTACAGACTCAAGAATCATTAGAGCTACCCATTGCATTGAGAAAGCTCAGACGAGAGATTCAACAACCTGCTCCATTGGCGGATATGGTGGCTTATGCACTTCCAATTGTTGATGATGACATACCTTTCACTTTTTAAGATGCAATTCGGAGTTTAGAAAATGAGAAATGGAAAAGGGCTATGGAGGAAGAAATGTTGTCTCTTCAGAAGAATCAGACTTGGAAGGTGACGCAACTACCAAAAGGCAAAAGGGCGATAGGATGCAAGTGGATATTTGCAAAGAAAGATGGATTTCTTCATAAGAATGATGTGAGCTACAAGGCAAGATTGATGGCTAAAGGCTACGCTCAAAAGGAAGGAGTTGAATATAATGAAGTGTTTTCTCCAGCTGTTAAGCACTCTTCCATAAGAATTTTGTTGGCCTTAGCAGCACAGTTGGATTTAGAGCTAGCTCAACTTGACGTGAAGACGGCGTTCTTACACGGAGATTTAGATGAGGAAATCTGCATGACTCAGCCAGAAGGATTCAAAATTCTTGGAAAAGATAATTGGGTCTGTAAGTTGAACAAATCGTTGTACGGACTGAAACAATCTCCGAGATAGGGGTACAAACAGTTTGATAAGTTTATGATTGGGCAGAAGTACACGCGAAGCAGACATGATCATTGTGCGTATTTACGCAAGCTGCAAGATGGATCTTTCATTTACTTACTCTTGTATGTGGATGATATGTTGGTTTCATCAAAGAGCCAAGTGGAGATTGATCATTTGAAGGCTCAATTGAATCAAGAGTTTGAGATGAAAGACTTGGGGAAAGCTAAGAAAATTCTCGGGATGGAGATAAGTAGGGACAGAAGGAGAGACAAGCTTTGTTTGACTCAGAAGCAATATCTGAATAAAGTACTACAGCGTTTCGGCATAAAAGATGAGACGAAGCCTGTAAGTACACCACTTGCATCTCATATTAAGTTAATTGCCAAATTATTGTCAAATTGTGATGAAGAACGAGAGTACATGGATAGAGTCCCATATGCAAATGCAGTTGGCAGTTTGATGTATGCGATGGTGTGTACAAGACCCGACATTTCACAAGCAGTTGGTGTTGTTAGCAGGTATATGCATGACCCTGGTAAAGGTCATTGGCAACCTGTGAAATGGATACTATGATACATTCATAGTACTGTAGACGTTGGATTAGTTTATGAGCAGAATGAAGTTGGTCAATGTGTAGTTGGATATTGTGATTCTGACTACGCGGGTGATTTGGATAAGCGAAGATCAACGACTAGATATTGTTCACTATTGTGAAAGCTTCAGTCAGTTGGAAGTCTACCTTACAGTCAACAGTTGCTTCGTCTACAACAGAGGCAGAGTATATGGCGGTTACTGAAGCTGTGAAGGAGGCAATTTGGCTTCAAAGTTTGCTTGAAGTCTTGGGAGTTGGTTAAAAGCACGTCTTAATGCATTGTGACATTCAGAGCGCTATTCACTTAGCGAAAAATCAAGTATTTCATGCATGAACGAAGCATATTGATGTTAGCTATCACTTTGTACGGGAGATTCTAGAAGATGGAACCGTTGTGTTGAAGAAGATCAAAACGACGGAGAATCCTGCAGATATGATGACCAAGGTAGTGACAACAGTCAAGTTTGGACATTGTTTAGACTTGACCAACATTCTGCATATTTGAGTTGACACCGAGAGATGCATTTGGATGCACCGCCAGCAGTTGATTTGGATTGAAGAGTCGAAGTGGGAGCAAAATTAGTCAAGGTGGAGAATTGTTAGATATTGATTTATTTTATGTCCTACATCGGATATGTACCAAAGATGTGTAGGATCTTTTTAGTATAAATAGGTCCCTTGCCTTTGGGTTACAATTGCACCTTATTCTATTCTCTCATCTCTTAGAAGGAAATTCTTAATTAAGGAAATTATAATTTGTGGGTTATTTAACCCTAGTTGTATTTTGTTGGTGAGTTTAGTGAATTTGGTGTTGCGGTTGGTGGTGTCAGGAGACGCAGACAATATTTAGCGAACTCCGTTATCAATTTTTGTGTTCTTTTTATTTCTCGTCTTTTTTTATTTGTGTTGGCTTATTTTTCGTTTGGAGTAGTGTTTGCCATATTTGTTGTAGGGGTATTTTTGTCTGCTGCGATTGTTGTTCTACCCCAACAGTTCTCTATAAACTTCATATTTACAGTGTCGATTTTCTGTTGCATTTGAAGTTACATGTCAGCATGCTTCAATATGAGAATTATCCTACAAACGGTGTCATGCATATGAATGCCAAAATTTTTTGTCTTAAAAAGAATATAACAAAATCAAAACTTACCTTTCATCATCACTTGTCAAAAAACATGAAGTTTCGTGTTCTTGACTGCCTTTAGGTGGTACAGACAGAGGGGCGTTGCCGTAAAGTTGTTGGGATTAGAACTTAGAACCATTAATGTTGCGGTTATTCTTATTTTTTATGTATTTTTTATCTCTAGTACATGTTATGTTCTTTTTTTTTTCTTTTTCATTTTTTTTAGTTCAAACCATGAAGTTGGGGTTGTTTTTTATGTATTCAAGTCTTAACAGAAGAGGCATGTTTAATGTTTTAAAACAGAACATAACAGGTCTAGCATTGAAATGTAACATTCTCTTTTTGGTTCTGTTTTTCGCTATAAAATCAAAACCGAACCGAGTTTTCGGCTGAAAACTCGGTAACCGACTACAAGTCGATTCGGTTTCCGTTTTACATTTTACTGTTACCGAAATTGTCGGTTCGGTATCGGTAACTTTCTATCGGTTTGGTTACCGAACCGATACCACCCCTACATCACTCTTGTCCCAAACCATTTGAACTTTGACTCATACCAACATCAATTTGGCAATCTTGCCACGACATGGTTTCAAGGACACTCTCTAAAGCTAAACTCCACAGCTGATAATCCCTTCTTAATATTATTTGAAAACGTGTTGAGCCTAAATGGCTGCCTCGCACGCTTCGGAAGCTTACTTGACAACATTACATGCTTCAGCTTTTAGGATTTTTGTTTAATCCGATCCCCGTGTAAATCCTCAAAATCCAAAATAAATAGGATTCTTATCTTATAAATATAAATAGGATTCTTATATGACGTGTAAATCTTCCAACTCCAAAATAAATAGGATTCTTATCTTATAAAACTTACTTGACAACATTATATCTTAGGATTCTTATCTTTCTTATCTTATAAAACTTACTTCGCAGCATTATATCTTAGGATTCTTATCTTATATGTCGTGTAAACCAAAATAAAAATTTTAGCTTTATATATTATTTTATTTATATAATTAATATAAACAATAACTTTTTTATATAGTTTAAATTAAAAAATATACTATAATTTTACGAAAAATATATAGCCACTTGCATATTATATATTTTCAATAATTATTTAAATCTTTTTAGAATATCTATAAAAATACATTTAAATAGTTATAGAATATTACATGATCTTTCTAATATATTTTAAAGAGTTGAAAATAAAAATAAAATAAATTTTGATGAACACATGATAAATAAATTATTTAAATCTTTTTAGAATATCTATACAAATACATTGAAATAGTTATAGAGTATTACATGATTTTTGTAATATATTTTAAAGAGTTGAAATAGTTATAGAACAACATGTGTTTTTTCTATTATTTTATGTTTTATATATTTTTTTTCAAACAGTAGTACACGGGCGTCGTTCGTACTAGTTAATATGAAAACTCAATAAAACCTCACACTTTTCCCAAGAAGCAGGGTAAGAATATTCTGTGAATAAAACCTCATAATTGTACACAATGCTAAAATCAATACATCCCGAAATGCCTCCAACCCGACTAAAACACAAGTCCGCCGGCAAATGTGCGCGCTACTCTCTTCCCTCAGTTTAACTAAAAAAAAAAAACTTCACCCGAGCAGAAAAGACAGTCATAGCATCTCGGCCTCCTTCAACGCCGCCACCCTCGCATTCTCTCTGTCCTGCTTGAACGTCCAGTACAGCGGCGTGTAAAACAGCGCGCACAGCCCAAACGGTACAACCATCATAGCCAGCAGTCCCCTCGACAGCGCCATAGCCTCCCTAGCCGACCCAAGCACAGGGTCCACCGTCTTAGTATCATACCCATACATCTTCTCCGAAAGAATCCCCACAATTGGTGCAGCAAACGAGGAGAACGAGACCTCGAAGGCTCGGTCAAAGGCGTAGATCATGGTTCGGTGGCCAGCAGGGACCACCTCAGCGAACATTGGCCCGTTTGTGGCTGTGGCGCACCAGCTTATGGTGATGCCCATTAGGAAGAGAGTGACAGCATAAGTGTTGTAGCTGGAGATTTGTTGGGGGATGGCTCGAAGGAGGATTAGCGAGAATGGGATGCCCATTGATGCGCTGAATTGTGCGCACATTATGCGTCCTGAGTGAGGGTATTTTCGGGATAAACGGTCTGCGATTACGCCGCCGAGGAAGGAACCGATGGCGCACCCGGCTGCGAATAGGCCGACTAGGGTGGCAGAGCTGTTGTGGTCGAAACCTACAGAAATGGAAATTTTTGATTTTTTTTTTCAAATAAGGAAAAGAAAAAAGTTGGTTGATGGGAAAAGTAATGTTTACCGATTAATTCGAACCATAGGGTGATGAAGACGATGGCTGTCCACGGCACGGAGCCGACGAGGCCCTGTAAGACGATGAACTGAAAGGTCGGGACTTTGATCACGGTTTTCATGGCTGTCCAGGACTCGTACCATATTGTTGTTGTGGTTCTTGTACTCTTATTTTCTACCAAATTCTCCCTGTAAAGTAAAACAACAAATCACTCAAATTTTAGGATTCTACTTACTCATGTTACACTAGATCCTTTAGGGGTGAGTGACAGTGTGAAGAGGCTCAGAAGAAATATGGTTGATTAGAAAAAATACACTCAGATGGGTCAAGTTCAGTCATTAACTAATCAACAATCAGTTTCTACCAATTCCACCTTCAAGAGGAGTTCTTAACCATATACAACCCAGACAGCCTACATCTTAAGGAGAACATTTGTCATTTTCAAAGATAAAAGAGGAACTTTCCGTGATCAAGCCAAAACCCTCAAATTATTCCAAATAATAAAAAAAAAAACACCATNCTTCCCCGTATCATGGCCACCGCCGCCACCAATCCTCCTCGGGTCAACCACAAACTGAAAAACAAGAAACCCAATCAAACAACTCAAAGCCCCCATCATCCCAAACGCGCACCGCCAGCCTGGCACGCCCAAAAAATCATATCCCGCCATCACAGTAGCAATGGCCCCACCCCCAATACCTCCCACAGTCCCCACCAGATTCAAAAACCCGAACCCAGCCCCCCTCACTCCATCCTTGTAACTATCCGCAATAAAAGACTGAAGGGCCGGGATCACAATAGCCAGCCCGAACCCGTTCACAGCCCGCCAAAACGCCACCTGGACGAAAAACCTGCTGGCCCCCACAGCCGCAGTTGAAAGGGCCCAGCAGAAGATGCCGATTGCGAGTACTGTGGGCCTGTCGTAGTTTATTGCTAGAACGCCGGCAAGTGGGGACGAGAGGCCTTGCACGAAATTGCGCGTGAACGTGAGATAACCGAGATCTGCGGGCCCAGCTGAGAAGGCTTCGCTGACTTCTTTGTAGACGGCAGGGAGGAGGTTCTCGTCCGCGCGCTCCATGATTGAAGCCATGTTGATGATGATGAGAGAGAGGGAGATTCCGAAGAGTGTTCTTGTCCTGATGATCAGACGAGAATTTGCAGTTTTTTTTTTTACACATATTTGGAATACTAAGGAACATAATGGGAAGAGTAAGTATGAGAATAAGTTGGATATGGGAAAACCATCAGAGGATCTGTGAACAAAATTGATGTTAGTTTGTGTGTTTGATATTTGAATTTCACATGTGTGAAGCCTTTGACAAAATTAGTGATGGAAATCCTATGACTAAGCCTTTGACAGCACAGTGCATCATCTGGAGGAGTCCTCCTAACTCCCAAGGAGTGTTTTAGATTCTGGATTTTACATTGGACAAAAAAAATCTCATATTTAAGTTTGTTCAAGGCTTTTATTAGCAATCACTACCAATTTCTTATTCTCAAATCGCGTCCACTTCTGCTGCGCTAATATGTGTAAGTAGGAATTTTTGTACACGCTACTAATTTGGCATATACTATATTTCTTCCACTTCCAACACAACTTAAACGAAGGATCTTAAAAACAAGAACTAACTCATCTAGATAACAACGAACGAATTCACCAAGATCTATGTAACTGGGAAAGTCAATAAGTGGCAAGTAACTTCACAACAAACTAAATAAAATCCCTGTACGATTTTGTCCATCCAGAGTCATTTTTAAATAACAGAACTCATGCTTATCCAAACATCGTAATATTTAAGACGAGAGAGAGAGAGAAAAGATTCGAGTCTATCCATATCCGATCACAAATCAACTNGAAAAAAAAAAAAAGCAAAGAACAGAATCGAAAAAACTCACTTCATGTTGGCAAGATTCCTCGAACACAGATTATTGGATCCTATGTAAGCAGGCCCGCGAAATCGTAATTTTGATCTGAGGCTAAATCCCATAAAAATATCAATTAAAGCTGTTGGGGTCCCTGTTATTGCTCCTCTGTGGCGGATCTACAACAGCCGATGTACTCATCTGACCAAACGTGATGACGACGATGATATGCTTCGAGCATTGACCAACCGGTGGAGACTCTTCAAAAGCCTCCGAATGAAAAATAATAATAACAACAATAATGAAATTCGCAAAATTACACGTGTAATAAAAATATCCGTTTAGTACGAGAAAAGAAGGAACGCGACAAGATCCAAAGAGAATACGAGGACGTGTCACTAACTGGTAAGAACGGCAGATAGTCAAATGCAGAGAAAGATAAATTCGGTGTGTGTGCTGTGGTGTGGAGAAGTGTAAGGTACAGTAGGAAATTTTTTATCGGCCATGGGTATTGTCGCGTCTGGTGGTTTGTGATTGGACGACGCTTTGGGAGATAAGTATATAGAGGTGCAAAAGTACAGTGTAATGCCAAATTTCGCATTTAGATGTGTAGGTGTGTGGACTTTGTGAGCCTCCGAAAAGTACAGTGTAATGCCAAATTTCGCATTTAGATGTGTAGGTGTGTGGACTTTGTGAGCCTCCGAAGGGTTATAGGACTGCATAAAATCATGGTTTGGAGGGATAATTATTAATTGAATAATGTCATTTTGACATTATGACATATATTAATTGAATAATGTTATTTTGATATAATGTTGTTGACATTCGAGTTGAAAAATAAGATAGTTTGGAGTGATAATCCTGGCGCGAATGTAATAACGAATTATTGCTACTAAGTACGGAAAACAGGGCCTTAGGTCGGATCTCCATCCAAAACCCCAAGATCAGGAATCATACACTGGAGGCCCGACCTTAACGCATCGTGAGAGTCGGAGGGAATTAGCGTTAAGTAAGAAAGACGGAACCCCATATCAGATCCCTACTCAAAAACCAAGTCGGCTTCTCAGAGATGAAGATCGGTCTGATGACGAAGATAAGAGCTATAATCGAGAGCCCGACCTCAAAGCCTTACGGAGATCGGAGTTCTCAAAACGCTTCAAGAAGAAAAAATATTATAATACTCCACTTGCGGCTTAATGATGATCGATGGGACGCGCACGTCAGCTCTTCAAACCTATATCCTATTGGTTCCTAGGATAGCATGTCCGCATTAAATATATGTCATTTGACATTAAATTGATTTAACTCGATCCAGTAACCAAACATAATATATTGCTATAAATAGTCCTAGGAATCCATTTTGGAAGGGGACAAAAATTCTCTCTGTAAAGGCATTTAACTCTCTCATTTGTTACAGTAATTAATGCTTAAGCAGAACACTGGAGCTCGTTTCCCTTAAAATCCAACCTCAACATATCTCTTCTCAGTGCGAAATTACCTTGAAATACTCAACTTTAACTACTTAATTATCTTACTAAAAACTCTTAAAATCATATTTACAGTTGATCAAAACTATTGATCAACAGTTTGACGGTAGAAGCAGGGCTCCATAAATGTTACTTGGAGTCAATTTTCGATTTGTGAACACGCACATCAAATATTTTCTCTCTTCCCCTCATTTTCTGAAAAAATCACCGAAAAATGACATATGGTGAGCTATATAAACGAGGGAAAATGACGTACCTTGAGGCTGATGCGTTGCCGTATGACCCAAAGGAGGCCAGACAACTCTGCACCCAGGCAGCTCGATTCAGGAAATCGTCCCTTGCAAGCTATATAAACGAGGTACTCGGCATCCTTGTTGCAATGTGTAATTGAGAAGGAGTCAACATACATAGTGAAGGGAATTCACGAGGGTGTGTGTGGAAATCATTCTAGGGGATATGCTCTCACGCACAAAATTCTAAGGCAAGGTTATTATTAGCCGACCCTAAAAAAAGGATGCCTTAGAGCTCGTTCGGAGGTGCAAAAAATGTCAAGTGTTCGCACTAAATATCAATTAACCCTCGCAATCCCTGATGTCAATCTTTAGCCCAAGGCCTTTTGCCAAATGGGGTGTGGATCTAATTGCCACATTACTAATCGGAAAAGGAGGAGTTAAATATGCCGTCATGGTAGTCGACTACTTCAGAAAATGGGCAGAAGTCGAGCCCCTAGTCACGATAACCGAAGAGAAGATGATCAACTTACTTTGGAAAGCCATAATGCGTCGATTCGGAGTCCCGAACTCGGTCATGACCGACAACGGGAGGCAATTTAAAGAAAACGATTACAATCATTCTACGATGAGCTCGACATTGAAGTTTACTTCTCCACTCCCTATCATTGTCAATCAAACGACCAGGTCGAGGCAATAAATAAAATTATCAGACAAAGATTCAAAGTCCGACTTAAATCGGCGAAAGGTGCCTGACCAGATGAATTGTCGGGTGTATTGTGGTCATACCGCACTACAACTCGGTCTTCAACTGGAGAAACACCTTTTTCTATCGCATACGAATCCGAGGCAATGATCCTAATGGAGCTCGGCGCTCCCACGTACCGAGTGACTAACTATGAAAAAAGAACCAACTCGAAGTCTTTAAGGGTTAATCTCGATTTGATAGACGAACACCCCTCACAGGTTGAGCTAAAAAATGCTGCCTATAAGTGGAGGAGCAAAAGATATATCAACGCCCAAGTGAAACCCCGCGCCTATCAGGTCGGAGATTTGGATCTGAAAAGGGTCACGTGGCCAACCCCGAACCTCAAGCCAAAATGGGAGCGACCTTAAAAAATAACTGAAGTCCTCCCACATGGGGCCTACCGATTAGAGGACCTAGATGCAACCCCCTACGCGTAACAATGGAATGCGGCTTTCCTAAAAAGTACTATCAATAGAGTCGTGAGAATCGAGAGAAGGTGTCTAAGTATTTCTGAAAGACGACAAAATTTGTTGAAGTTGTAACGAGAATTTTGTAATTTTTACAAGTTTTACAGGTTTTTTATCATAAGGTTTTATAGGTTAGCACGAGTGAGACCGTGTTGAAAAGAAAAGCAAGCGCCAAAAGTGCGCAAGCTGAGCATAAAAAGTTGTTCGTGTAAGAAAAAATTGGTTTTGTACCGATTTAACGATTATATTTTTCGTAAGTAGAAGACTTAGGAAATTCTCAAAACCTTTTTAAGGTGAATGAGAAATTAATTCTAAGTGTTATATGTTAATTAATTGAGTTTAAATAACTCAAAGATTGTAGGGTTCACAAACATTCTGTTTTGACAAATGTTTGGACAAACTAAACGAGCCATAATTATACATTATGTATACTAGAATTGTAGAAGGGTTCGTTGGGGACAAGTAAGAAAAAACGGAACTCGATTCCGAGTCCGTATGAGCTCGTACAAGCCCGCGGCGCACGGGCGCGCAACTGGCTGCGGAAATCAAAGGGTTGCAACCCTTGGTTACCATAAGGTATCTTTTGGCCACTAGATGCATCTGTTCTCGTACGAGCACGTCCCAAAAGGTGTCTTTTGACACTTAAATCTCTTGGAGGTGTTTTCCTACATCTATAAATACCTACAAACATGAAATCATTGAAATCATTAAATTTCCAAGAGTCTTTGCATCTTTTTTACAAAGTTCATATTCATCTTGTGTTCTTTGTGTTCTTTCTTATCTTGAGAGTTCCTAAACTTAAGTATTGTTCGCCGAAGGTTTGTGTATTTGAATTACCGCTATACACAAATCGAAGTCATTGTATCTTGGAGACGTTAGCCGTGAACCGTGGGTAATATACGGGGTTATTTCGTTAAGGAGAGCGTACTTTACGTGCCTCGACTTTATTCGTTTTTGTCATTTTCCTTCTGATTTCTTAAGCCATTTTCTTGACATTCACAAACCAAGTCATCAACAATCTTAAGACGAAATATTTGTGAGTTCATAAGATGGCAACCGGAGGAAACCAAACGTCTTCTTCAAGTGCTCAACCGATGGTAGCTGCTCCCATCCAAGGCGAGAGACCGCCGAAGTTCAATGGATCTGATTTCAAGAGGTGGCAACAAAAGATGCTGTTCTACCTCACAACTCTCTCCCTCTCTCATTTTCTTTCAGAGGACCCGTTGATCGTCCCCAAAAGTGAGACCGACGAGCAAAAGCGTACGGCCTCGGATGCATGGCATCACAATGATTTCTTGTGTAGAAATTATATCTTTAATGGACTAGACGACTCTCTCTACAATGTCTATAGTCCGATTAAGACGGCAAATGAGTTATGGAATTCCTTGGAGATAAAGTACAAGACGGAAGATGCCGAGATTAAGATATTTCTCGTCGGCAAATTCCTAAAGTACTTAATGGTGGACACCAAGTCGGTGGTTAGCCAAGTCCAAGAGATTCAAATCATCTTTCACGATTTGGTGGCCGAAGGATTGATTGTGAATGAAGCCTTCCAAGTTGCGGCTATTGTTGTAAAATTACCACCACTTTGGAAAGACTTCAAAACTGTCTCATGCATAAACGCAAAGAGATGACGTTGGAGGACTTGATTGTTCGACTTCGGATTGAAGAAGATAACTGAAAGTCTGAAGTAAGGGCCTACCGGAGCGACTACGAGGCTAAGACGAACTTGGCCGAGTCAAACTCCAATAAGAAGCACAAGAGAACTTCAAATGGAAAGCAACCACAAACGAGCACCAAGAAGTTCAAAGGGAATTGCTACAATTGTGGTAAATCCGGGCATCTTGCGAAAAATTGTCGTCTCCCGAAGAAGGGTAAAGATACCACGCATATAGCCGAGGATAAATTTGTTCCCATTGCCTTATCTGAGCTCGATCTTACCGCCGTAGTCCAAGAAGTTAACTTGGTTAATAATCCACGTGAATGGTGGGTCGATACGGGAGCAACTCGGCATATTTGTGCGGATAGAGATATGTTCTTGTCCTATACCCCTACCGAAAAAAGTAAATGGATGAGCCAAGGCGTAGTAAGAGAACAAAAGTACCTAAGTCTTTTGGTCCTGAATTTCTAACTTATGTGTTAGAGAACGAACCGAGAACCATTCGGGAAGCTTTGACAAGTCCGGATGCTCCTTTTTGGAAAGAAGCTATCAATAGTGAGATAGAATCCATTATGCACAATAATACATGGGAGTTGGTTGATCTCCCACCGGGAAGCAAACCTTTGGGATGTAAATTGATTCTTAAAAGGAAGTATAAAGCTGATGGAACTATTGATAAGTATAAGGCCCAATTGGTTGTAAAAGGGTTTAAGCAAACGGAGGGATATGATTTCTTTGATACATATTCTCCTGTAACTCGAATCACGTCTATACGTGTTCTCATTGCAATTGCAGCAATGCATGACCTTGAGATTCATCAAATGGATGTGAAAACGGCCTTCTTAAATGGAGACCTCGAGGAGGAAATTTATATGGAACAACCCGAGGGGTTTGTTGCTCCCGAAAAAGAACAAAAAGTGTGTCGCTTGGTTAAGTCGCTTTATGGACTAAAACAAGCACCTAAGCAATGGCACGAAAAGTTTGACGAAGTGATGTTGTCGAATGGATTTAAAATCAACAAATGTAACAAATGTGTCTATATTAAAGGTAACGTCGATTCATTCGTGATCGTATGCCTATATGTGGACGACATGTTGATCTTGGGAAAAGATAATGGTTCAATTCTTAGT